AAGGGAAGTCAAGGGACATCAATCTCTTGGTGGAAACGTGCTGTGTCGGGGTGGGTCGTAGCGACTGGGACGTTGGACCGCGGTTCTAGAAGACGACGATGGGACGACGCAGTCTGTTTCCAGTGTAGAGGATGACGATCTGGTTTGGTGAAGACGGCATCTTGGCGTTTGTATGGAGTGCCCATAGAAGACTCGGGTTGCGGCTTTCTTGGGCGTTGAAGTGCAAAAACGTTGAAGGTGACGGGCATATCGGGTGGCGTAATATTATTCGAGTACGCTGGAAGAGAATTGAAAAAGTTGCATCGTGACCTGATAATGTGGGCACTTTGTCGTTGATAGCTAGCCTGACAGTCAAGAGGGGAGGTTGTGTAAAATGGGTGTTTTGCGAACTTTTTGCTGCAGTGTGCTTGGGAAAACGCACACCTCGTCCTGTATATACGTATTGCTCCTCAAATCACGCCTCGTGTACTGGATCACCGGCGACGTGCACCCGAAATTCAATCCATTTTAAATTCTAAAACGGAAATCTCCTACCGGTACCAGAAAGTCTTACTACCGGTGTTAGTAGGATCAACTTACCCATGTCTAACGAGGCAGAGACCCAACCACTGCGACGTCACCTGCTCTTCGTCAAACTAGGACCCGCTTTCAAAATTCCAACATATACGAGCCCAGCATTACGCCCGCAATGTGAGTTTGCGGCCCCTTCTGTTGACTCAGACGCGAAAGGACGCTTCTCAACGGTGGGGTTTTTGATTGGGCCTCCACGGCGCCACTGACAGTGTCTGTACGACGCTCCGAACACGTTGTTTGTTGATGTAGTAGTACCTTACGACCCTCCTCACTGCTGGCTCCAACGGCAAGCGCCGTGGACAATTTAAATTTCATGGCAGCCGCCAACCCACCACCCGCAGCAGTACCGTCACGCCGCCGTCGCCAGCAGACGCCGGAGCAAATGGAACAGAGTCGGCGACGCGCAAAGACATACTACACCCTGCATCGCGACAAGGTGCTCGCCAAGCTCAAGGTGCGCTACGAGCAAAACCAGGAGAAAGAGCGCTCTCGTCGGCGAGAGAGCTACGCGCAGACCCGAGCAAAAAAACGCAGCACCCGACCACTAGACCGACCAACACAGCACGCTCACTCCCTCGCCTTTATCCTCAATTAAGAAAAAGTCCTCTTAGCCTACACCTCTGTCATGTATTTCATTGTAAATCCAGACACCTCTCGGATAACTGTCTCCAGTTTCAAGTGCTGAGTGAGAAGCCGTTCAACGGTGACGACAACGAATACCCAGTCACCAGCCCATGAAAGGTATCCAACCTACTCGGATAAATCCAATTTATGCTATCTGGTACTACCGCTAGAACATCGAAACCTTGGATAGATCGGACATATGTTTGTGCGCTTTTCCAGCCGATCGAGGCGCCGGCTCGACCAACACATACTTCTTGAAGTATGCCTCTAGCTCACCGCGTCCTTGGCATGTGAAAGAGGGTCGAGGTTCTATATGAGAATGCAGGCAGCACCATCTATCGATCTACGAACACGGTGGGGAAGGACGAGTCGAACCAGTGCTCGCGTTGTGTGGACGAGACCATGGTGTAACACTAGGTTCCTGGTGGAATTTTCAAGTTCAGCAGCTGGTATTGACGCTCTGACTGTGTTGGTATAGACCATGTGTCAGAGCGTACCCAACGCTCTTTTGATGGTCACCACGCACTCGTTGTACGGAGACATACAAAGTTTACTATGGCCCTTGTTTCGAGTCGTTTCGAGCTGACACAACAAATAGAAAATGTTTGTACTGGTGGTTATCGGGTTGACGACTACGACTACCGGTACTGCGAAGGAAATGTTGCGCATCGACTTGATGATGGTACGGGTCTCTCCTTGGACGCAACCGAACTGCTGTCCACTCGATCGGCGTCTGATTTGGTGCGTCTCTATTCGCGTCTCGGTTCATCTTTGGTTCGCACGATTACAGGTCGCCAAAGTCCCATCCGAACGCCAAGATAAAAATTCCAATGCGCTAGCCACACGTACCACGCAATAATCTGATCGCGATCGGTTCAAACCACTATAAACTATGAACCATATCTACAAGCGTCGTCTCATTGCCGCCTTCTGGGACCATGACCATAGCGAAATTATTCCCAGAACCTAAAGTCAAAAGTCGACATCGGCTTCGCTGCGGTGAGCACACATTTGTGTAGGCCAATGCTTGGTCGTCGCTCGTTGCACAGTACTGTAGGGGCCGTGCGCGATGGCTATATCGACGGCCTAAGCTTGATTTCAACCCATCTCACACTTGTTCGATGGCTTTGTACTGAGTACTGAGGCTGCCGTCAACGTAGTGTTCACAAAATCCAGTTTGTTATCAGGTGACATCGCTCCAAAGCGTACTTCTTTCTTTCCCAGTGTAGTACCACGTGTATCAATAGTAAGCTCAAGTCCCACCCCGCCCCGCTACCTTCAACCTTTTTCTTCCAGAAAGCCGCAACCCGAGTCTTCTATGGGCACTCCATACAAACGCCAAGATGCCGTCTTCACCAAACCAGATCGTCATCCTCTACACTGGAAACAGACTGCGTCGTCCCATCGTCGTCTTCTAGAACCGCGGTCCAACGTCCCAGTCGCTACGACCCACCCCGACACAGCACGTTTCCACCAAGAGATTGATGTCCCTTGACTTCCCTTCTCACTTTTCCTTTGCCGCCTTCCAGCTCACGCTATGCAACGCGAGGTGTTGACGACGGATCGCGTCTCGTACATTGCGTCGCTCGACAAGCACGCGGCCGATGGCAACGACTACGAAGACGCCAAGACGCCCGGTGACCTCGAAGACGGCGCGCTCCGTGACGGCGGCGCCCTTGTCTACTCGTCGCCCGAGATCCTCGCGCTCATCTACCAGTACGCGATGGTCGGCATCGTCTACGGCGGCTTCTCGGTGATGAAATACCCGATTTTGACCGGGTACTTTGCGCTCGAGACCAACGTGCTCAACTCGGCGTACGCGCTTTTGAGTCTCGGCTGGTCGCTCAAGTTTGTGTTTGGTATGCTCAACGACTGCTTCCCCATCTTTGGCTACCACCGCAAGCCGTACATGCTTCTCGGGTGGGGCCTCACGGCCGTGCTTTTGGTCGTTACGGCCATTCGCCCAGCGGGCGAGGCCAACTCGCAGACCGACGGCTCGACGTTTGCGCTCCTGTGTACGTGCACGGGCTTTTGCTACGTCATGGCCGACGTCGCCCAAGACGGCTTGATGCTCTCGTACGCGCAGCGCGAGCCGATCGCGCTTCGAGGTCGTCTCCAGTCGTACATTTACGGCACGCGGTTCGTCTTTGCGGCCATTATCGGCGCGATCTGCGGCTTTTGCCTCAACTCCAAGCAGTTTGCTGGTCAGTTTGACTGGGACATTGGTGTCAACGGGTACTTTTGGATTCTGGCCGTCCCCGCCGTCATCAACATTCCGATCGTCTGGTTTTTCATCAAGGACACCAAGACCGAGGCGGTTCCGTTCAGCATTTACTTTGGCAAGCTCTGGACGCTCGTCCAGAAGCGCGCGGTGTGGCAGGTGCTCATTTTCAACTTTGTGTTCAACTTTTTCACGACCAGCATCCTCTCGACCGCGAGCTCGTATGTCATGCGCTACTGGGCCAAGGTCGACAGCCTCAACAACGCCATCATCTCGGTCGTCGGCAACCTCCTCTTTGCCGTCGTGCTCTACGTCACGGGCATGTACGGTACGCACTGGAACTGGCGCTACGTGCTCGTTACGACCGTCCTCATCGCCAACGTCATCGATTCGGTCTGCCAGTTCTGCACCATCTACGACGTGGTCCGGTACCAGTGGTTTTACCTTGGCGTGCCGCTCCTCGAGCAGATTCCGCTTGGCATCAACTTTGTCGTCGGGACCTATGTCATTGTCGAGCTCGCCGAGCCGGGCAGCGAAGGCGTCATGTACGGTCTCCTGACGACCATCTCCAACCTCCCGGGCACCTTTGGCACGCTCGTCTCCAACGTCATTTGCGCGCAGCTCGCGTTCAGCAAGGCGCTCATCAAGGAAGACGCGCCGGTCACGCGCGACGCGGTCGCGTACTCGTACTACATTCAGTACGCGTCCATTGCCATCGGCTGCTTTGCGGTCGTCTTGCTCCCGAGCCAGAAAGCCGCGGTCGCCGAGCTCAAGAAGAACGGTGGCAGCCAGCCGCGGATCGCTGCGTTCATCTTTTTTACGCTTTTCACGACGCTCTGCGTGGCCGTCACGGGCAGTCTCAGCTCCATGTACGAGAGCACCAACTGTCTCTTGCTCGCGGGCGGCGAAGGCTGCGAAGTGGCGCCCTCGGGCACGTACCTCCTCGGCATCTTTGTGCCCGTGGGTCTGGCGCTGCTCTTGATCGCCAAGTTTGCCTTCTTCCACTGATATGGGCAAAAACGGAGATCAGGCGATCGCTGTCGCGAAGCTACTACGTCAGACGAGAGTAGAAAATGTAGTGTGTCATGTGGATTTGAATTGGAGTTTGAATTGGAATATGACTTTGACTTTCAACGGCGGCGAACGGGAACGAGGACCACCCTGCCATTTGACCGAGTCGAGAAAATTGCAAGTGCTGCGTGCGACAACATGTCGCCCTGAACCGATTTTGATGGGACACGATGTCGTTTTAACAGGATGGTCTAGCCTTTTACCTGTCCATACACAGCGAGCGACGCCGGCGCGTTACCGTGCTCTCGGACGCCTGTGTCGACCCATGGCCGCTCACACCTACGCGGTCCAGGCCGATGTCGACTCGATACTGGTTGTATCTTTGCAGCGCCCACTAACGACATTGCACATAGCGCACGGAAGTTGAAACTTACAATTATGTGTCAAATGTCACAAAAAGTACATTTCATTACAAGTTGATTCGATGCATGTTGTTTGTGGTATTAGTAAATAGATGAATGGTTCATAATCGAGAGTCTCCTAGTGCGCGCGTTGCTTGTTGCGCGCGTCGCGCAGGATGCGCTCGACGGTCAAAGCGAGCGCACTCGGGCGAGGGCACGCTGTCGCCAGAGGCGATGTGACGGCTGCCTTGCGTGGCGCCGCGTGGATCGTAGGGCGAAGCGTGCACCCTGCGAGCTCTTTGGCGGCCTTTGCGGCCGCGCGCTCGGCCACGATCGTGTGGCGCGGCTTGGAGAGGCGCTCGTGCACAGGCACCGCTGCCGGCGCCGGGTGGA